TATTTCTACGGCTATAACATATATATTATATGGGTTATATTTAAAAATGTGTTATTCAGCCAGTTGGTGTGTGCTTTTGTTTTATCTGAAGATAATGTTAACATGTGTTGTGATCACTTTATTTTATATTCCTCTGTGTGCTGATAGGTAACCTTGACTGGGTGGGGAATGAGTTTGCCTTTAATGCAGGAGTCGGCCTGGTGATCAGTCAGCCTGAGGGCGTCGAGGAGAGAAACTCTACGGTGGTGGATCAGCTACGGGCTGCATTTGAGAGGGACTGGTTTTCACGTTACACACGCTCACTGCAGGCCAATAAGATCCCCATCTGCAACAAGCATCAGAGCAACAGGCTGATGCCGGTCAAAGCCAGTCACATAGACAATGTGCCAATGCCTATCAGAACAGGTGCCCACGATAATGGACCTGCACCAATGAGAAACAATCACAAAGATGACAGACAGAGGCCGGTTAAAACAAAGCACCATGAGGACAGACTAACCAAAATAAGTAGCCAAGACATGGCCAATGGACTGGTGCCAGTTATTGATACTTACCACGACAGGGGGCGAGGAAAATTGAGTCACCTTGACAACAGACAAGTGCAAAGCAAAGATAATCACCATGACACTCCAATGGTTCCACCCAGTCAGTCAGCTGAGAGCAGTGGCAGCAGAGAAATCTCGAATGGATCTCCGTGACTGTAACAATATGAACGTTGTATGGATTTGGATAACATAGATGGAAGAACTCTGAAGGGGAAGTGAAGGCTCCACCGCAGCCTGGCATTTCTGATGGACTTTTTGAGAAGAATACTGACTGATAAGCTCTAATTATAACCTAAAACCTTGCTACGTATTTAACTTTTTTTTCTCTCCTTGATGAGTGCTCTCAAGCAAAGGAAAGAGAAGAAATCGTATTAATTGACCAGTTATTGTATGAAACTTGAGCTGTTCTGGCAGTCATTATTTATCACCCTTTAAAAGGAGGCAGGTTTCGGGAGGATATGCAGCATGTTTAGCTACACTAGCTTACATTTAGATGTAGCAACTGTGACATCACCTATTTGTTCATTGACTGCTGTTTTTGAAGCCTCAAATTTTAATGTTTGGATAAAAAAGTTCAGCTTGAGTCCCTAGGTGTGTTAGCAATGTTAGCAATGAGTAAGAATTGAGATGCTAATGTTATACAGATAAAAACTGGTCTTTAAACACAATTTACTTTCCACAAAAATGAAAGATGAATCCTCAGAGGATATTTTAGTATAACTAAAAGAAAAGAATACGAGAATAACCTTCCTGCATAATTGTGGATCACTTTCTGAACCTTAAACCAATTAGAAACCCTTCACTAATCAAATATCTTGTGTTTCTTTTAAATTATAATCAATGAAAAAAAATTTTTGACCTTCATTGGCACTGGAGGAAAACAAGTGAAGAACACACATTGAGACTGCTGTTACTTAAAACATTCAATTGAAAGTACATTCCTGCTTGTACCTTTTGCCTTTAACAGTTTTAAGACCTGGTAATTGTCCTTATCTTACCCATTACTTTTAAAAGAAAGCGAACACCAAACAAGAAGTTTTCTGGTCAATATGGTAGCATCTTGTCAGTCAAAGTTACCATACCATTAAATCATGTCCTGCTTGTCAGTACTGTAGGGAAATGAATCAGGTGAGAGGGAGAGACATTTTTTGACAAGCTTAAACGCGATCTCATATTTTTGCAACCTTTGGAATCGCCCCCTTGTGGCCATTACTGGGCATTCCGCTTGAAGGCACTTCCATATTGGCTCCACTTTTCACAACCCGAGGCAATGTCCACTTCTGCATTCTACATACATAGATACAGTCTTTCACATAATGGGCAAAAAAATAGTAGTTTTTAAACTTTATATTTTTGAATCAACACTGGTAACATCACCACTGATTACTTCAGATGTTCATTTCAGACAAAACCAAAGTAAAATCTTAAGTTTCGTAGACCAGGTCAAATTATATTTCATAAAAACATACAACCTCATATTCAAGGGGCTCATATTCTAGGATTGTAACACAGGTTTCACTAAATGCTTATTGATTGCTTTTATGCTAATAACACACTTAAATGATGAGCATTGACATTTGTCCTGTAATAAATAAGCAACCCCATTCCTCATTTCTGTGTGCCAACCATACAGTTTAAGAGTGGCGGCTCCACAGATATTGATTAAGTCCTCCTACTTTGTCTAATATCAATACCTCAAAGATTTAAACGCAGAGAGTGGTTACATAATCCTTGCCATGATGCATCATACATCTCAACACGGATGGTTGTATATTTTATTTTACGGAGGACATAATTGGATTAGTTGATGCCACTATTGTGCTCTGTTTATTACATAACACTTATGTACTATGGCCTGGATTTTGAATTAGTCACCATTTACAAACGACAGCTTTCATTAGTTTAAGTCAAATGCAGAGATTTTTCCCTTGAGGAAAATGAGCTGTTGATCCAAATTGAACAAATACTAAAGGAGCATTTAGAAGCAGGGACCAGAGGGTCTTTGCTGTCAGACAAATCAATACAATGAATTTTTAACAGAGCTTGACAGTTGCAATTGCTGCAGTTTAACCTCAAGGACATGCTGGTCTCTGTAGCCATGAGTGTGACTGAATACATTGCCTACACCTTGTACAGCTAAAAAAAAATATTTAGGTGTCAGCAAAGAATAACTCATATACCCTTGTCTGAAAGCTTGATCTGACTTTAGTTTGTATTTTTGAATGATTGCATGACAATTAAAGACCTTTACCGATGTTTGCTGCCTGTGCAACTTTTTGTAACAATGCTTGCCGGTTTATACAAGCGAAGCAATTTTTTCTTACTCCTGAAGCCATTAATCAAGGAAACAGGAGGACACTACCAGAGAGACTAACATAGTGATGTCTTCATAAACAACTTGTGTGGTGTAATAGTCAGTGCTTGAACATGAGTGTTCAAGCATGAGTAGTCAGTGTTTTACCTGAAGTCACACTGCAGGAAAGTAGCACGTTATCATGATAAAAGGTTATATCCCATGATGCTTTGATGGATATCACAAGTATTTTAAATACTGTATATGTTCTTATTGTGCAATATGTTAAGTTTAAACCATGACACAGACTAAGGTTTGTCATACATGTTCCTTGTATATGTGCAGGTTTTACGCATGTAGCTGAACCATTTAACAAACAGTTGTTGGTCAAAAACAGCCCACTTGACATGGTATTTGTTAGGATGGAGATATTCTGCCATCTAGAGGACAAGGCAGGGAGAATATTTTGTCTCCTTTTATCTATGGCTGTATGGCATGACTTTTTCCGCAAAATCAGCCTTGATCATTAATACATGTTGGTTGAACCATGTTTATACACCTGTCATACACATATTATACACGTATAATAAATGGCATCAAAATTACAATGTAACAAATTTCCTGCTCCAGTTGGGATGACTATTTATTGGTTATCAGAACATTACTGTTTAATTTTTTAAACACTGTTCTCTCACTTTAGCATTAGAAGTTAATATATTGATTGTTAAAGTATAAGATGTATTTAATAATAACTGAATATCAAACTTGCCGCTGTCAGTGTGCCATTCAGCTTTAAACAGACTCATGAAGCAAAAACCAACACTTCATTCCTGTGTTTGCCACACGGAGCTGTAGAACTTGACCAATGACCACATACTTCCTTGTAAAGTTTGTAATCTGACAGCTCTTCTTGAGTCACATCTGTTATCAATCGCTGCTATTATCAATGATTGTCTTACTGAGAGTGGGAACATTTTTTTACTGAATACCTTGTGAAAGGTAAAAATATGTTGTTGTTTTTTTTTTACTTAAAGACTGAGTGAGATGAACAGAAACAGAATGAAGCACTATAATATGCTCATTGTAACAGCTTTTCAATGTCACCTTAATATTGTTACATTTTTCGGCATGACCGCTGCTTGCATGCCTTGCCTTTATGAACTGTGCACAGTAGAGCCTTTTTAGAGAATATAATAAAAATGAAATCTTATATACCTTTAAAGATTATTGAAATCTTATGAACCTTTAAAAATACTAGAAAGAATGTATATTTATTGAATCCTCTTGTCCATGCACACTACTGAATTATCTGATTGACAAGTTTTTACTCTTAATAAAAAAATATGTACTCTGAGCTTTGTGTGTCAGCGTTTCTGTTAAAGAACAATTGGCTGGGGCGGTGAATAGCCAAGCGGTTGAGTTGCGCATCCCATGTGCAGATGCTGTAGTCCTCAATCCAAGATCCAAAAATATTATTTAAAAAAGATTGTTGACTTTTGTTTCGTTTCCTGATTACAAAGGCTGTTAATTCAATCATATTAGCTCAGAAGTTCCCTCAGAAGTTAATCATGAGCAATATTAACCCTGGCTGCCAGTCTTTAATGTTAGGATTAATTGCTTAACTACATTATACTTAAAACAAACAAACAAAAAAAATCTGAGATATTGCCTAATAAAATAAGCATTATAAAAGTGTCACTTTGGGCTATGTGAAAAGTCTTTTACAAAGCCTGCTTTTTTAAAGCAGGTTTGATTGAGGATTGACTTGACTAAAGTGGAAAAAAATAACAGCAGATTTATTCATAACAAAATTCATCATTATTAGGCCTGCATAACATTTCCAAAGCAGTAGGCCCACTGACCAGAGGCGCCTATATGTTTGGAGTGGAGTAGGCCTATTGGTAGCCTAGTGTCTCATTTGGGGCCTACTTACTCCAGCAATGTACAAGGTGAGTCTGACTGTGTTATAATTATGTTGCATGGAAGCTGCAGCTAAAGCATCCAGATGAATCAAAAGATAGGTGTTGGTATAAAATACTGAAACTGTGAGATAGAGCGGCAGAGATTCCTGTACCTACCGACACTGCTACCTGGGCTCGAGTTGCAACAGCAGCGGACTGACGTAACTGTTTCCTTGGCAACCGATTAGGCGTCACCACTGGGCTCTGCAAATTCATGAGTGCGCTTTTCTTTCTCGGAGACTGTCCCGTTCTGTTGGGAGGGACAACACAGTCCACGTAAAGCGCTATGGGGACCAGTTTATTGAAAGGAAATTAAACCAGATGTGTATTTCCATCTGTCTGCCTCGGTGTAATACTGGAGCTGGACGTGCCGACCTGAAGAACATCGCCGTGTTGTCGGAGCTGTTGTCGCTAACACTGCCGAGCAGCAGCAGCAGCAGCAGCAGCCAACATGGCTGAGGATGACAGCGAGTGGGTTCTTGAGAGCATCGTTGGCTACCTTGGCAGTCCGGAATGGGTCATTCCTGTCACGGACTTTATGGAAAACAAATGTACAGGTAATACACGATGTCGACCAATGTTCAGCTGTGGACTTAAAGCTGCACTGCACTGCGCTGTGAGCGATGTGGCTAAGCTAAGTGTAAAAAGGCCAGCGTGTGACTGCGATGTTTTGGTTGACCTAGATGTATAAACAGTGTAACATTTTACAAAATGATAACCCTGCAAGTTACTTTTTTTTTTTTTTGCATTGTATCCGAATTTCTGAACATTTGCCTCGCATTAAGGCTCAAAAGAAAACAGATTACGACAAAGTTAGCACGTCATGGCATCGTGGAGTTCATGCAAGAAAGTTTGCTTAATTAACTAAAAAGTAACATTATCTACTCTGTGTTTGAATTGATCGCTACAAAATACTATTGGTAATGTTAATGTAGGTAAATACAGAAAATAATATCTGCAGTGGCCACTGTTTGTATGCTGTATTACTAACATGTAGGTGTTATTGATTTCACTTCATTTTTAGTTTTTGATGATGAAGATGAAAATAAGTTGTCCTACACCGAAATCCACGTGCAGTATAAGAAACTGGTGAGTGAAAGTGTTTGGTCCTTATGTGTCAAACACATGATAAAAGATGTATTTTATTGCCTCGTCAACATTAGTCATTGGTGGCTTTATATTGCTGACTCATTAAACATATCTGATGTAAGCTGCTTTGCTTTTGTAGGTGGAGAAGCTGTTGGATAATTACATGCAAGAGGTAGGCATCAACGAGCATCAGTTTCTGGATGCATGCACCTCTCCTTTTGCCAAGTCCAAAACACTGCAGGTACGTTAAGCTCCCTGTTGGCACAACACTGTCAGTCTTCAACTTAACCTGAATAGAGAATCAGGGCTAGGATTTGCTTACATAACTGCAGCTCTGCTACTTTTTAATGGTTGACAAGGATAGAAATGTATCTTCATGTAAGGCTTACTAGTCATTTTCAGGTGAAATATTTCAATGAAAATATAGTTTGTACAATCACATTTGTCTTTCAAGCCCACCCTATAGATATGTGGTCTATCCAGACAGTCTACTGAATTTACATTACACTTAGCAGAGTATCATGCCCCACCATACATTTGTCTACACAAGTGCAAGCAGCCAGATTTTCATCTGTATTTTCTTCAAGCTGGATATTTCAGAACACTTTGTCCTATCAACATATATTTGCTGAGTTAGATCTATATAGGTGATTATCTAAAACCGCTTAGTTTAAGGACAAGACTGAAATACATATTTCAGTGCTTCCATATTTTCTAAAAAGTTTCAGAAAATCATGAATGTCATGCCCTTCACTTGTCTCCTTATAGCTTTAAATGGTTTGACTGTGACATCAATCTCTTATGTGTGAAGGTATGCTGCTAATTCGTTTACAATAATGAAAATTAAGTCAGTAATTAAATGGCAGGGATGAAGAAAAGAGATTGTCCTTTAGCCTTTAACCCTATACATACAGTACATAGTTGTTGTGGTGGTAATAAACTGCCAAACTAAGAAACTGATGAGACTCTTAAAAAGTTGGAAACTAAACTTTATGTTTGGAAGGTCATTTGTAAACAGGTGCAATAGGTGCCATGAGACCTATAATCTTTTTTGAGAGTGCATGTTCATGCTATTTCATAGCTAGTTTAGGCAAGGAATACACATTAAAGTGTTTGGGGGATTCTGGTGCTTCTGGTGCTTTTGGTGCTTTTGGTACTGCTAAACTAAAAACACATATCTGTAAAATGAAATTAAAGGGGATAAAAACTTTGTTTTATGTGTGTGATGTGGTTCTATTTTAGTTTTCTAAGTTGTAAGATGTTAGAGAAAAAAAACTTGTAAGAAATCATGAGGTTATAAACCTGGATTTCAAAGGTTAAATAAGGATCTACAGTTTAATATGTTACAGCCTATAAATAGATTTTCCTTGGCACTGATCAGTAGGTGTTATGTGGCATTGGTAGATCCGGATTTCGGAATTCATCACGCTTCACAAGAAACTTTGATCTCATCAATTACCAAATATAGTAGAAGTTAGTTAAAGCCACTTGACACCCAAATCTCCAGCAGCCTGTTTTTGTTGTGAGAACAGAGAAAGTTATTTTCTAGAGGTTTCTGCAAACACAAGAGAAAGGAAGCTGAGCATTAAGGAGCGTCATCTCTAAGAAGCTGGTGACACAGTTGTTGTGAGAACAGAAAACATGTATTAAAGGTTTGTCCCAAAGATTTTCCTAGCATTAGCCTAGATGTTTAACAAACCTTTGAATACAGACAGGAAACTAATATGAAAGGTTAAGCCTAAGTTAAGCTACCCTGTTTACAAACATATCCCATAGCCTATTATGGCTATTGGTCTTTTTTTCTCTTCCTTTTCCTCTATAATCCAAGAGGTCCCACATGGATCTGTACTGGGGCCAAATCTATTCTACATAAATACTCTCTATCTATAAATATTATTAGAATTATGACATATCTATCGTGTCACTTCTTGTGAATCTCCCTTTAAAATATATATTGAGTCCTTAAAACATCTTCTGGGTCTTTTCAAGTACATTAAAGAATGACAAGTAACTTTTTTCATTTATTAAAGGTCCCATATTATGCTTTTTCTGGTTTTATATGCTCTTCAGTGTGTTTTCCAAGTGTCCTGTGCATGTTTCGGCACATCTTTGTGCAAAAATTCAAAGTCCGTGGAAACGCGGCTTCTCCTACCTCCTCCTGTTAGCTGTAGCATTAGCCGCATGTAACGCTCGGTTCTAGCCCCCCTCGATAAATATTTGTCAGTCCGACGTCATTGTCAGTGTGAGATCACTGATCTAAGCCCATTGGCTCGTTGTGGCAAGCCCTGCAGCTCATGTTGAAATTTCCGAGACGCGTGCTGAACAACTGACCAATAACGACAGAGCGGATCGGCAGACCAATCAGAGCAGACTTGGCCCACGTGGGGTCTAACAGTGTGGGCTCAACAGAGTGCAGCTGACGGACTCAGAGCGTAGAGGGAGCAAGGAGGAGCAGTACATGAAAACAGACTTTTTTTTCGGACTTTAGCTATTGTGAACTTACAAAAGTAGGTACATAGATTAAATATACGAACCCCAAAAAGGGCATAATATAGGCTCTTAAATACCCAGAAGTCAACTCTAATTTAAGCTAGGGCAACTCAATTCTGTAATGTAATCACATGCAAAAAAATGTTTAATATGTTTACTTAAAGTAAATAAACGCTTCTAAAAAAAAGTCACATTGGTCTTTTCATGATATAGGAAAAGTGAATTAAGCCATCTTTACATCAAACCTGGAATACAGTGGTTCTTTGGTTGGGCCAAAAAATGCTGCTGCTGCTGCTGCAAGGATGTTGACTGAGTCTGAAAAGTTGGCATGTCCATATTTTTATCTTGTTGATTGATGTTGCTTTAGGTATGTTTCCCTTTGTGCTTTGTTTTTACGGTACTTTTTTTGTGGCGCACTGTGGTCTTTTGAAATTTCTAGAGAATTTGTCTCTAGAAATATACTTTTATATTTAAGTTTTAAGTTGATTTCTGATACTGAAGCAACATTAAACAGATTGGAAATATTTTATTAAATTCTTTGATTATTCTCTGGACCTTGGTTAGTTTTTAGAGTAAGGTTTAGCCAAAAAGATACTTTTAATAGCATACAATTTTACAATACTGGTACAAACTGATAAGAAGTTTCAGATGGATTTCTACACTTTGCTCCATCACCATTCATTCATAATCATGTATTATATAACGTGATTTTTCATAGTCTTCCTTTTTGTTTTTTTAGTCTGTGTTTCAGCCAGTTCTTGCTACAGACGACTTCCAAATGTTTCGCTCTCTGATGGTCCAGAAGAACATGGAGCTCCAGCTTCAAGCCCTCAGGGTCATTAAAGAAAGGAATGGTATGCACACACACACACACACACACACACACACACACACACACACACACACACACACACACATATATATATATATATGTATATATATATATATATATATATATATATATATATGTATGTGTATATGTAAACACACATGCACTTACAACACTTCTGATATCATTTCAAGTCTAGTAACATGCCTTTGTGTTTTTGTTTGCATAGGCGCCCTCCCAGAGTGTTTGACTGATGGTGTTGACGTGATGACAGAGCTTCAGGAGCAAGAGATGAAAATCCTGCAGGAGGTTCTCAAGTAAGTCCCATGATCTCTCTGTCCATTCTTCTCTCTCTCTCTCTCTCTCTCTCTCTCTCTAGCAATTTTTCAGCATTTTGTTATTCGTGTATGGTCTTTTTGACTTGTCTTGATTTTTGTCAAGAGGATAGGAAACAGTGCATACATTGAACAATAAAAGGTGCAATGAAAGAAATATTTTGATACCTCAATGATGAAGATGTGATGTTCAGGGTAGCAACAATCAGTGAGCTTACAACTGATTGTCATGAGGCTTGGCTTCTTTTCTCTGAATTCTGACAAAACGCTCAAATATCAGCTGTGTTTGATGGCAGTCATTTACAATGTTTACCTCGTATGTATGCCTTTTTTAAATATTCCAATCCTCAACTGTTTATAAAGCTGGGAAACATAATTTAATAATATTTATACTCACCAGCCCACCCACCAATGGAATAGATTTTTTCTTTATGATAAAGAGACATTACATATCATAATTAAATAACTTTGATACGGAAACATTTTATACATTCCTTAAGTCAGTAGATATGTATTAATTTATTTACTTTTAGTATTAAAGTAATTAAGACTTGAAATAATCAGATCTGAGATGATTCCCTATTGTGCTGTTCTGATGTTTCCAAATTGTCTTTATGTCCACATTGGCCATGTGTCCTGCTTGCCTGAAGCTCCTACCCCTGCTACCTAATGAGATTTTGCTGGCAGCCTGGCCAAGTAGAACACACTGAGTCTAATGGGACCGCAGTTAAGCTCCTTAGGATTCAGCTAATTTAGGATGGAGGGATTGACACTAAACAAGCAACTGAGGAAAAAAAGTATTTTATCCCCTTTGTCTTAACAGGGTACGCTGGCTGTTAATCAGCACTGTACTCCCCTTCATTTCGTACCTTAAAGATATACTGTAATTACAGGGTTTCTCTATGCAATGCAAATTATTATCTCTGCAAATTATTCCCATATAATGACATCATACCTTAAAATCTTTGAGTTTCAAAGTTGACTTTAATTCTAAACTGACATGATTTAGTAATGTCTGAGTTTTTTTTACAAAGTTACTCAGCTTGAAGTGGATCATTTATTGGATTGAATATTTAAAAAATAACACGTTTTTCCTTTAAGTTTGATTAGCTACTTGTGTAAGAAGGAATTTAAGCTATTTTCCTTTTTTTAAGCAATCAATAAATCAAATGAATTTGCAAAATATATATATATTTTTTATCTATGTCATAAGTCTGCAAATGATTGGATGGTTCACCTCAGCAGTGAAAGGTTGTTGGATACATTAGCCATAAATGAGTCAGTGGTCATTCATGTGTTCATGGGGAAATTACTTTGGCATTTTTTGCTGGGATATTTTCAAAATGTTACTGATTTCAAGCACAGGTACTCAGCTGTCTTCGGTTGAATGTCTTTTGATGCCTTGTGGTTCGAATGATTTTGGATCAAAACATTGAAGTAATGGCTTGAGGCTTTGTGAACAGAACATGTACTGCTGTGTTTATAAAAATGTTAGTCGGTCAACAGCTTGAATGGAAGGTATTCATACAGTCATTCTTAATGTAATGTTATGGATTACATTTCGTGGCAAACAACCAAAAAAACATAAGTCAATGAACATCATCCAAATGAATACACAACTTCTGACTGTTTTTTCAGCATGCCTCCTCTCTTCTGCAGTATCCTTCAGTTAGTCACATGTGAGTAACGGTCATAAACTCATCACTGCAGTGCTGAGATTAAAGTTCAAGCTTTTGTTTATGTTGATTTTTTTGGCATAATTTTATTTGGATGCTCAGTTCAATCACTCGATCTGCAATGATGAGTTGTTGAATATGTTCATTAGACCATCTTTTAGTCGCTCTGTCACATGATCCCTCTCCATTTAGATACCAACTTATAAATGCTTTGTGGAAATTTAATTCAATGCAATTTAAGTTGTTGAATAAATCATATTAAAGGATCTGTGTGTGGCGCCCTGGTGATCCCTGTGATCAAGCAAGGCCACAGCATGGTTAAAAGCTAACTAGACAATGGAATCTGCTTTACTGTAGATTAACTTGGCTTTTATTACACCCAGGCTACTAATCATACTCTGGAACGGCCTAAGTGGGCTCCTGAATGCTAAAGAACATGACTTGTTAAGACAGCCTGTTTCATGCTTTCAGGAATCAGAGATGATACTTTCACTGGTGCTCATCTATGAAAAGTGAAAACAAATCCTTTTCATTAACTCCGACAATAAACCCTGAATCAAATCATACAGTGGACGCTGTCTTTCCTCTGCTTCTACTCTACTCAGGAAATCCAAAGAGGAGTACGATGAGGAAATGTCCAGGAGGCTGCAATTAGAAGAAGAGGTTGGTTCCACCTCCAGCAGCTGCTCTGATAAGCCAGTGGTAGAAAGCAAGGAAGCCCTTAATGCAACATCTGCTCCCAGCCAACAGAGCAACACTGCCAAGGTAAGGCATCATGAGATCACAGGCTCTGGGAGCCAAATTAGACTTTTGGAAATCCATGAAACCTGATGGGAGACATGTGACGCTTTTGTGCAAGCTACAAGGTTGATATCTGTAAAAATCTGCAGGCGCTGCACTTTGGTGGGGTTTTATCTACTATGATTTATTATCAACTCAGAGTTTTTGTGTGTCCATTTGGACCTCATTTCTATAACACTGTGCTATTTATTTCATGCAAAGGCCAAAACCAAGGAGAATGTTGACAGAAGCAGCAGTAATGGTCACCACGTCCCAATAGTGAACGGACACACTGAATCAAATCTGGTAATTGAACCTCTCATGTAGCAAGATTTGAACCAGTGACAGACAGTTACTGCCCACTCTAAGGATGCATTAATACTCATCATTTTACTGAGGGAAAGGTAGGTAATTGTAGGACTGAATATACAAGAACTGGGTACAGAATTGGCATCATAATCATAACAAAGGTATCAGTGCAATCTTAGAGGGGAAAGTATTTTGTCACTTCATAAACTGAATAGTGAGTTGGTCATGTAGCCGCTTTGTAGTTCAAAGTCTCAGTAATTAGGCTGCTTGTGTGGTATCAATAGAATTAAAATATGTTCTGACTGCAGGGTGACAGGTAAGTGTTTGTTTTTTGTTGCAATTTACATTGATCAAAAATCTCATGTGAAATATTGTCTTAACATATTCAGAGGAAACAAACTCACACAGACTAATTCACCAGAAAAGGACCTTCTTGGACCAGTTTATACACAAGCAGTTTCTGGTTTCAGTGCATTAAGACTTATTTGACTTTTTTAAGGACTTTGTAGAAAAACATAAGAGAGGGCTGAGGGAAGACAGTCAGAGATCAAAGGGGTTTCTGGCACATGAGGAAATCTTTATGGGGATATTATACATTTTTCTAAAAAAAAAAATCCTTTGATAATATTTAGCACCAACTTTAGCCCATAAGGTGTCATGCAACGTGGAACACGGCTTACGACCGAGTTTCCCCAAAGTTGTAATCTGCCTGCTGAATCAGGTATAGATGTGCAAGGACTGAAACATTTATTTTTTTTAAGTATCCTGTAATTTTCTACATAATTGTAAAATTAAATTTGTAGCGTTAGCTGGTTGCAAAATTGGGCTCAATTTTATGCAGTGTTTTTCAGCATGTTTATATGTATTGTACTCATGCCGGGGGTTCCTCCTTCCAGGTGAACGGCAAACCTTTGAAAAAAGATGAAGGCAGGACAGCTAATCCTGATGGTGCATCTAAGAGCAGCTGTACATCCAAACCTAAACCAGGTAAATCAGAAGAGCTATAAACTCTAAACTCTTCTTCAATACGCCTCATTAAAACTCAACACATTAATTCGGTTTACTGGCTCTATTTGAACCTGAGAGAACCTTCAATTTATTCACATAATTAAAAAAAAAAAAGAATAACCTTTGAAGAAAAATGTGGGGTTACAGGAGATGTATTGTATTTTTCTATTTTTAAATTAGCTGTCACTCAAATCACGTTTCCATGTAATTTCTTTTTCTTTTTTTTTTTTTTTTACAACAAACTACCCTGAGGTAGCTTTGAGTAACCATACAGACATGAATATGTGTTTTGAATGCAGATTGTGGCAGTAATGGTGTCGAGTCCAGAGTCCTCCCAGCAGTGAGAGCTTCAGTGAAGTCCTCCGAACCCCAAGTCAGCCTTGGTCCTGAATCCAAGCAGCAGAGCAGCAGCAGCAGCCAGACTGCAGCTGAGGTGTGGCTGGAGGAGGCACACAGGGAGGCTGGCTTCTCTAAGCCATATACTGTGAGTCTGTGAGCCTGCTACAAACAGTGCATACAGTCTGTGAGCTGGATTGTGTTGTGATGCTAAGTGCTTAGGTTTTATCTAGTTGGTCTGGTGAGAAAGAAATGCCAGAGCCAACCAAATTGTTTGTCCTACATTTCTTATATTAATGAACATAGAATCTATTCAGCAGTTCATTCCGTCTTCCCCTTATTAAAAGTTTTATTGTAGTGTTTTGTTAATCAGCAGGTAATCAAATTCCATCATGACCAAAATTCAAGTGTACCTAATGTTTGCTTGTGAGCGTAGTTAGAGCAAGACCTGTCCTCTTCTCTGCAGGAGTTAACGGCATCTCAGCAGGAGCAGCTCCAGCAGAGGGCGACATATCTCCGTCAGCAGCGAGACAAGCTGCATGCACTGAAGAAAGAGCAGCAGAAAAGCAAGCAGGCGACCACACCAGAGGAGTCACCCGCCACCACAATGACCACCACGACCACACCGGTAACTACAGCCTTCTCCTGTCTTTCTTATACAGCCCTTCACAAAGAGGTCAAACATCAGGATTGATCATCTGATTGTTGAGGACAGTTTGTCCCAAGAACATGAATTCATCTGGGAAAATGTTTGATTTTTAATGTTTTTTTAAATATTTGTTCATGACTATAGTGTACTTGATTTTCTTTGTACTAGACAAATTAACAATTCAGTATTTTCTCATGTTTCTGTCCTCACCTGACACTCTGCCAGGTTGGTCCAGCCTCTCAGTCTTTTTGTCTGCCACTCATGAAATGGACATAAAACATGTTCCATAAACCTGTAAGCACTCAAGTCTGTGGTTGCAAACGGTAGAAATGTTGATCTAAATAACCCTTGCCATGTGCTTATGTGGTTCCCTGTATCAGACCATTATAGTTATTAATGGAAGCAACAGTAAATACCGATCTTGAATTACACGAACGTAGAGTTTTCAAACCTTTTCTTTCTCGTCATTTCACCTTTTTATTCCTTTACTGCTTTCTTAATTTCCTTAAACCCACATTTCCCTCATGGTTTTCCTTTCTATCATCCATCTGACTTATTTGTTGGCTTTTTGTTTTTCATTTCCCCTCTGTGCTGTTTCTAACATGCTGTGACCTATAAGGAGGCAGTGGGGCAGTCACAGAGGAATGGGGCCTGTACCCCTCCTGCTCCTCTTCCTCCTCCTCCAGCACAACACTCTACAGCTAACTCCTCCAAACAGGTGATCCATCAGCTGCTCGTGCCTGATGTGAACACATGTACTCATTTGTGCGGCGGTGTGTTGCCTACGTTTTGCTGTGTAGTGTTTTTTGCGCTTTGGCTCTACCTAACCCACAAAAATGTACCTGAAGTCTTTGTCCTGGAAAGAGAGAAAAGTTGTTGGCTGCATTGAGAGGTATCAGTAGTTTTTCCAAGGCTGGATAAATATTGGATCATTTGATACAGCTTTGGAAACACTGATAGTTCAAAGTAGGCAGAGTCGTAATTCCCAAATTAGCTGCTTTTGCTTAGTGTTCTCATATATGTACAAAGTATTTATACATGTGCTTTGTTAGTTTGAGTACCGTTTCCCAGTGCTTTTCGCTACCTCTACATTTCATCCTAACGCAATGATGGTGTTTGTTATCTTCTGTTTGGTTGTTTACCCTCCTACCCGCTCTGTTCTCTTTACGCAGGAGATAACTGCCGAGGAGAGGAAGAAGCTGCAGAAGAGAAAACATCTGGCTGACAAGCTGAAAGAGGAAGTGATCAAGAAATAACTTCCCTCTCCAACTGCAATATTCACATTTCTTTTCAGTCTACTTTCAATCAAACATAAGGCTTCCTTTACGCAGCCTCCAGTTAATTCACTTTACAGACAGAGTTTTTCCAAAGAAATACAAATAGTAAGAGGTCTTCCTCCATCAGCGTTCACTTTCGTTGCTGACAACAGAGGAACAAGGTGCACCTTCTTTTATAATTGTAATTTTTATAATGTACCAGTTGAGTATGCGTCAGGCAGCGCTCAAGAGATCATTTATATTGTCAGACCTTTAAGACAGTCGCATATGTTTGACTGAGCAAGTTAAGAAAATACAAGGCAAACTGAAAAGCACAAGGACAAGTCAGGCGACAAGCTGACAATGTTGAATGCCCCCCCAAAAATGGAGTACAAGTGTGTTCACAGCATGTTAAGTTATTGCTAAACATCTAACAATTCAGTGCTTCACTATTCATAGATAAGTATATGTTAATTATGCAACACAACACTGGTCAGTAATCGTGTAAAAGCACGACTGATAACCCATTTGTCTGCACACTATAGTGAAAAATACTATTTATAGCAGTGACTGAGGGAGGATTTTGGAAATATCTGAGCTACAGTCAAAAGTTTATACAGATTTACTATTAGGCACAGCTGGCCTGGCTTTGTATCTGAGATATGGGTTAATGCCCTGAGAGTAATATGTCACAGTGACGTAATGTTAGCTAACACAAGTCTTGTTTACGTTAGCTTTGCCTGCAGGCTGAGTCAGCTGGTACACCATAAAACTGATAACAAGATAGCAGAGACAACTGTGAAGGCTGGAGAGATGATCACTGTCATGTATTGATAAAGGGGCCAAGAGAACAGTGTGTCGCTTTCTACAAGGAACGCAGTATTTCATGTACAATGTTTAATAAAATCACATTTTATAGAAACGACCCCAGACTCTGTGTGTGTATAAAAACTTCGCTACATGTCAGTACAAAGTAGTGTCAGAATTACCTTCTGATTAAATCAGAAAAAAAACAGGGTTTATTACCTTGTGTACTAATTGTATAAAGAACACTTGATAGGACAAAATACTGTGCATGTGTCATGTCCCGTCAAAACGCTGTTAATTCCTTGTTTTTACAGATCACAGGAGGAACTATTTAACGCAAAGACAGCATCTTACAATTCACACTAATGGTCTTCAGGTATATTTCCCCTTACTGCTGTCTTAAATAGATCTAAAATACCTGGGAAATAGTTTGGCTGATTTAAGGAATACAAACATCTGGACTCTGTTGCTCTTCAGAAAAATTAAAACAACGTTAGATTCATAAGTTCAAAGTCAGGGTCACATTTAATTTCAAATATCAAATAAACTCATACAAATGTTAAGAATGGATAGTGGTAGTAAATGCACTTGGTACAAATTCATCAAGGGAGAGCAAAAACAGTCATATTGTTTGGGTAACGCTTACAGACTGTAAGAAAGACAATTCGCTGCTCATGTACTCATGTACATCCTGAAAAGCATGTTGGAAATAATTGTCTAATTTGTGCTCTAATGCTGCTGCCTGTGGTGTAACTCAGACGGCCGTGTGATCCAGCAGGTTGTCTTTAAGCTAAATTGGACTTCCTTCCTCAGAGAGTTATTGGTGTGACCAGGAGAGAGGACACAACAGGAGAAATGTTTAACCAGACACTGAAATGTCTCATGACTGTCGCACTTCGTCAAACCTGTGCTGTCTCAAATACTTCGGAATTTGATTTAAAAAAATAGCACTGCTTGTTGTTTGTGTCAATTACTCATTTAAAAAAAGTTCACCCAATCACTGAGTTAAAAAAAAAAATTCATTCAATCTATTTTTTGTCTGCAGAGCTTTTTTTGAGGACAGGCCAGAGAAAACTAGAAGTTAGACAATCTGAAAGAAAGCTGAATGTTTTTTTAAATGGATCACGTGGTGTTGAACATTCAGGACCCCAACACTGGCACTTCAAGCTCCCTATTAACTCAAAGCAATAATTCTCCATCCAAGACTAGATGTCAGATGTATGCTGAGTTAAGATGGGGAGCTTTTTTGTTTCTGATGCCTATTGAACTCTGAACCTGAGATCTGTGTGAGCGGAGGGAGGAGCTGGACCTCCTGAAACAATAGTGAGCACTAAATCTATTCTGAAGCAAGCTGAACCCAACTGCTCAGGTTTTTCACCTGGTCACAACAAAAACTGGGCAAGATGTGTATTTTAATGAGGCCACTAACTTCTTAAATCCACTGAAATACAAACTCCAGATATCCTCAAAATGTTGGCTGCAAAAAAGGACTTATCTGCAGTTTTAATTATATTTTTAAAACCAGCATTTGCAGCTTTTCTGCATTTTACATTGAATCAAATGAACTGGACTGAAAGGGTGAACAGTGACCCCACCTTTTGTGCAACGACAACAAAAATACACAGGTAGGTAGGTGTCTGTATCCCCTTTCAAAATCAGATCAGGGGCGAATGATTAAAAAGAAAAAAACAAACATCTGTACAGTAATTTTTAACAAAGCCATGAAATACAGGATTTCTGGCTAATGCAGTCCTGTGTGTGAGACACTGTGTTGTGTTGTGTGTGAGCCTTGGTCAAACTGACACCATGGCTTTGAGTCCTGCTCCTCTGGATCTAAGCCACGATACTGCTGAATTGTCATCCTGGTACATTTTGTCACCTCCCTTGTCTCTCAATGTTTTTTTGATTCCTCTACGCTGCCTGTATCCCCGACTGCAGTAAGCAGTTCTGTGGCGGGGCGGCGCACACACACTACTTCAGCCAGTCAAGCTTTTACTATCACTATGGCGGCTAGTCCTGCTAGCCTGACTGGCCCCCTCAACAGTTCATACGCTGGCTGGTTGTGTTCGGGCTCCCTCTTTCTCTGGAGCTCATTGGTTCCGGTTTGAGACGGATGGAGAAGAGAGTTCAAAACGAGTACAAGTAAGGGATCCTGTGGGGCTGCTGTAGTACCGCAGCTTCCCCGCTACTGTTGCTATAGCAACAGGGCAGAGTTGGGAACCCTCTTGGCACTGTTATTCAACCTCTGCAGCCTCTCTGGTTGATACATAGGAGTGAGGATGAAGAGGAGAATTTTGCTTAGAAGGAGTTCAAACAAAGAGAGAAGGAGAGTTTAAGAGGAGGAATGAGTTTAAAAGGGTCAATGAGTTTCTCCTCAGGAGAAAGAAAGGAGAATTTGTTATCTCCAAGAGGAGACAGTCAGAGAAAAAAGGGGGTAAAATCATCTGGCTGAAGGAGCAGACTGATCCGTCTTCCTTTCCAAAAGAGAAGCTCCCCATCTCCTTCACTGAGGGAGAAAAGAGGAGCAAAGATGAGGAGGGACTGAGTGAGGTGGGAGCTTGTCTTTGTGCGTCTCCTCGGTGAGACCGACAGGTGGCACAAGCAGGCTGAGGATGCATGAGACAACCAGAGGAAGGAGGATAGTAAGGACGTAGTGTCCCTCCATATAGACCAAACAGAGGACAGTTTGCCTTTAAGAGCTCAGACGAGGCCGCTTTCTCTGTGACTGCTCTTCCTCCTCTTCTTCTTCCTCTTCATCCTCATCGTCGGGGTAGTCTACCAAACCAACCAGAGCGGTCTGAGAGAAAAAGGAAGAGAAGCAAGCTAGAGATCAACAAAAGCACCCAGTTATCAAGCACAACATATGTAAATTGAACTATTTCAAACACGCACACAACTTATATCTACAGGTGCTGGCTGTCCATCATGATCTGTGCTCATTTCTGAACAAGGACAGAATTAGTGTACGGCTCTGGGTGAGATACATTTGGTAAGAAAATGATAAATAAAACACTGACTTAATGGTTGCTCATTTAACACTACTGTAATAGATCAGCCTGAACCTTTAACATGTAATGGTAGTGAAATTCTCATATTTGCAGTTATGTTATATGTGAATTTTCACCATTAGGCCAGGACACACAAGTATTCAAATTTACAGATTATTAACTTCACCTTAGTTTTTGACTCAGTCCAGCATGATGAAAAAGGTTTTGAAAACATTATTAGAAATAATATTGTTTTTGCTACTTGTAAGGTTCAGGTTACTTTATTTGTAACCGTAGGAATAAACTGTTTTGCAGCCAGTGAAACGGAGTCATCCATTATAACACCCAATTACAAAAGACATGTGACATGAAACAACACTTTAGAGAAGCAAATTGTACCACTTAATCCAAAATAAATATATTTTGTTCCTGCCTTTACCCTTGCTTAATTCAAGAGGTTATTTATTTGTTAAGCAGTGAAGTGTGTTACTGACATCAGGCTGCTGTGTTTGAGGAGAGACTTACTGAAGAGATGACAGCAGAAACTCGACGTGGAACATGTGGAAACTTTTGTTTTTTAGTGGTTTGCTCACAGTCATCTTTCGGTCTGCCCAGCCAAAGTAAGATAATATATCCAAACTAAATTTAACAAATGTTTTTTTAACAGTACAACAGTGGTGATGATGTTGACTTTTATCTGGCTGCCAATACTGGGTTTAGAAAATAACTTGATTACACTGAGGCATTGTCAAACTATTTGTAAAGATGTATTACCTTTACTACTGGTGTGGCAGGAAGGGCAACAGTTTTGACGGAGGAAGTCGAACTGTTGTTTGGAGTGACGGCTGGTGAGGCAGGCGGGATTACAGCAGCTTTCCCATTATTATTGGCACCATTGGCTCCATTAGCAGCTCCTGCATAAACACAGATTATAAATATCAAACTTGAAGGGATGTTCTAGTCCTGGGAGAGATCTTAATGAAGACACATTCAGTCAGACCACAGCAGCTTACCTTTTTTGGCTTCCATGTACTTGCCATAGCTGTCAGAGAAATCGTCCTCCATGCGGCACTTCTCAACAGCCTCCCCATCTTCATCATCTTCGTCGTCATTGAACCACAACTCTTCATCCTCGTCCAACGAGCGTGCATCTCTGCGATATCTACAGAGAAATAACAACTGGAATATTTAATAAAGGTTGCAATTACATCAGATAAAACTAGAACCATAGCACTTTCGTTTACGGTCTACTGACCTATTGAGTCTCTGACTTTGACGGTCTTTTTCCTGCTCGTACCTTCCTTTCAGGCCCTTGAAAGTCTGGACGTACTCAATTGATTCAAGTGCTTTGTAAAAGTTATCGATAATGTGAGCAATGAGAGACTTGATGTCCTCCTGGAAAGACGAGACATGGTGTCAAAATCACAAAGAATTCTATTTACATGTGCGCACTCAGATACAAAACCTTTTCATTCATTTATTTTGTGTCTACGCACCACTTTAATGAACTCAAAGAGCTCTATGATGGCTGAGTTGAGGAGGTTGTATCGAGTGCCGTTGTCCAGCAGGGCATTGATGACAGGCTCAAACAGGTTCCCTTTGATGATATATCTGTTGTAGTACTCATCCTTCAGACCAATAATTCTGCGCATGAAACGCAGGGCACCTTTGACAAAAAAAAAAACAGAAAATACATTCAAGAAAAACTGTTTCTTTTCTGGGTCAATAAACTGCAAGAAAGTAGTACAACCATGCAGAGGGAAAGACAAAGAAACAAAAAGTGTGGGTGTTTCTTTAAAGCATTTGTGTATGTGCGCACTTACAAAGGGCGAGGAAGGTGTGTTTGGAGTTCATTAGCACCAGCACTCTCCTGAGCAGGTCTTTGTTCATGATGTAGGTCTTGATGTGATAGGTATGGTGCTCCACACAGAAGGTCAGAAGCTCCAGGATCAGTGCTAGCAGCTGAGCTGTCTGGAAGTTGTCTACCCATAAAAAAAAAAGAAAAGCTTCTTCAAAACCTGACACAACATGTATGCAAAATTTCTAAATATTAAACAAAGCTGAGGACTACGCCCTTCAAGTCCAGTCTTTTTCAAATCATAAATAAGAGACTTTGTCTGTTCAATTTAGA